TATCAAGTATCTCAGTTTGTCTTTCGGTTGGGAAGTTACATTTCTCTCTAGAGCTCGGGTTGGCCTTGACAGGCAAGGTCGGAGGCCTGCCTAGTATTTAAACGATATAAATACTGTGTCGATGGGGGCGTAAAAACAACTACCATGTAAAAAAAAAAAAAGAATAGTTTACGAGTATAATAATATTATCATGGAAGGGGTGATATTCCTTATTTTTTTCTTTTGTTTGGCTGTTGCTGTTTGTTTGTTTTTTGTTGTTGTTGTTTTTGGGGCTTTTTTTAGTTAAGTTTTGTTTGTTTGTTTTTTAGTATTACTTCTGCTCTTTATCATATGAAATCCAGCTATTTATCAATACATTTTTTTCTTACCTAGCATCCTTGGTGTTTTGCTTTATGGATTACAGCGGTAATTTTTTTAAATGGGAAATAATCTCTGATATTAGATCCTCTGATTTCTCTTAATGAATGGGCTTAGGGTGGAGACAGCATGGAGATTAGCCGCAGAAACAAAGCTAATTGAGCTCCGTCCTACAGGATCGGAATCTATACCCCCTGAAAGAACACCGTCACTTAAGGCTAGGCATAAATAATCTCAGCGACAAACGATTGCATGGGTGTCTTTTCCATAATAATTATTATATTAGTTTCAATCAGCACGAGGGTTCTCTTAATTGCCTCAATTTGTTGTTTCTTGCCCATTCGTCGGCCAGCTTTTCAGATGTAGATCTACTAGGCCCAAAATCTTTACACTTTTATTTCTAATTCAATTGTTTAATTCATAGTACTTGTATGTTGTGCTCGTTTTCTCTCGTAGATGCAAAAGAAATGTCTTCTAGTTCTCCAAGTGGTCCTTCCATGAATGTTTATTGTTTTTTTGTTGTTGTTTTTTGTAAAGTGTTTTACGGCACTCGCAACTGCATAGGTCATAATATGAGCGCGCGGGACACTCCTAATATTTTCAGTTGGTAGGAAATTTTTAATTTTGCCCGGGTGGCGGCCGAAGCCTACTCTTATCGATTTTAGACCACCAAGGGATCTTTAACGTGCGCAACTTGCATACGGGCCCTCCGAGATTTTTCGCCCTTGTCCGAGAAGGGTAGGTGCAGATCTTTCCTACCGGAAGATCAGGGGTGTGGCAGAAAGACAGCAGTAAGGAGGAGCCAAGGAGTAGCAGTAGAAAGGCTGCAGAAAGAGTCAGGAGCCCAGAGGAGGGGGCAAAGGAGGTGAGGGGGTGGGGGCAGAAAGTGGAAATGAAAGCAGACAACAGAACATTGCTAGAGAGCAGGAAAGGAGGTGAAAGGAGACAATTTAAGAGAAGAAAATTTTTCGGTCGCTACCCGGATTCGAACCCGGGACCTTTGAATGAGAGGCCAACACCTTAACCTCTAGGCCACGAGAGCCCCCCATGAATGTTTAGAGCACTGTTTGCCGCCCTAAGCGATATTGCCCACAAGTGAGTGATTTAGTTTTTATGGTGGGTGGTGAAGAACGCGCGAGAGGTCATAACAGGTAATACTTTAATGTCCGCTTGGAAATATTACACGATATTGATAAGGTAGTTCGGCGGTACGAAAATGTTAGTGTTAACCTCTTTAGGCTATTTAAAAAAGTTGACAAGCTCTGACTTAGACTTAATGCGTGAAGAAGCAAAAGGTCGACATGCAGAGAGAATTTGTAATAGAGTACTGTGTACCTTTTTGGTTTGTATTCTCTTTTGTGAATGTTTTACGGCGCTCACAACTGCATGCGGTCATTGAGTCATTGGGCACGCGGGACACATTTAACATTTCAGTAGGTCGGAAATTTTGAATTTTTCTCGGGTGGCAGCTGAAACCTAATCTTATCGATTTTGGACCATCAATGGATCTTTATCGTAAGCAACTAGCACCCGGGACCTCCGATATTTTTTCACTCTTATCCAAGAAGGCTAGCTATTAAATTAATAAATCTTACCATACGAACAGCAGTGTGGCTGAAAGACAACAGCAGTAAGGATAAGCCAAGGAGTAGCAGCAGAAAGGCTGCAAAAAGAGTCAGGATCCCAGAGGAGGGAGCAAAGAGGTGAGGGTGGGGGCAGATAGTGGGGACGAAAGCAGACGACAGAACATTGTTAGAGAGCAGGAAAAATGAGAAAGGGAAAATGTTTTAGAGAAGAACATTTTCCGTCGTGGTCCGGATTCGAAATCGAGACCTATTGAATGAGAGGGTAAACCACGAGAGCCTCCCCTCGTTTTGTACTTATCTGATAAACGTCCACTGACAGGACACCACTGACGACATGGCTCCAAGTTACCTCCACGCTTTCCTATTCTCTACAATTTAACCGCAAGAAATGGTTATATCATTCAAACTAAAGTGTGTGCGTGTGTGCGTGTGTGTGTGTGTGTGTGTGTGTGTGTGTGTGTGTGTGTGTGTGTGTGTGCGCGCGTGCGTGCGTGCGTGCGAGTGTGTGTGTTGTGTGTCTACTATCAGCACGAAGCCAAAAAAAAGCGTTTTCATTTGAACAAATGCCTCTCACTTGTTTTTTCCATTTGGTCAAACTGTTGAAACAAGTTATAGGCTTTCTCACATTTCTGATGAATATTAAAGCCAGTGTAAATCCAACCGCACACCTGTAATCCGAACTGACAATTCTACTTGATGCAAGCCGATTGGTGCTGTCGGATGGTAGGTGTGTGTGATAACCTGAAATTTGTGCAAGTCGATTTGTTCAGTTTGATTTGGCTTGCGCAAGACCAGATTTTGTTTGGTGTTTCGCCTTCAAACTAACCGCACGCTGACTGCACCACTCCTTCTCTCCCGCGCTTCCCTCTACTAAAATGTTCTAGGCGCCGGATTGTTGTAGTGTGCTGTGTACAATTGGTCGCTTAAAGCACAAGGGTGCTGTCCCAAAAATTGTTGTTTTGAGAAAATTGAAAGAAAAGTGTTTGCCTTTTGTTCAGTTTCTTTAAAAGACAAGGAGAGTTTTCTCTATAACCAAACAAATACACACCAATGAAACCAAACTTCTCCTACAGGTAGGGCAATGCCTACTTTTTGTGTAGGTCAAGATTTCTGGAAACTCCCGAAACCTGGGATAGCCCGCTTGACCTTAAAAGCGACCAATTAATTCTGCTAGGCCAGGCCCACTGTGTGAGTCATGGCTTCGTGTTCGAGAGAGGCAAAAACTAAAATTTTTTTTATCCTTTATAGAAATCTATAAATCGTACGATTGTTTATGTCGGATCAAGTCAAAGGACTATAGCAATAGAATTTTAAAAGACAGCATAGTAATATGAACATTTGGTTCAGTCCACAAGTCAAATTGACAACACAGCCAACCGAGATATGGTAACAAAAAAAATTCCTTTCGGGCAGCATTCCGGGCGGAAGGAATTGAATTGAAAAAAAGTTGAAAGTTTGAAGACTGGAGGCAAGAGAAGAGGATGTAAATGTGCCAAGGCCGTGGTATTTCAATGAATTACTCTTTCTAAGACCAAGAGCTCCCATTCGTCTCTTTTGGAAGGCATTTTTTATCCGGCGTTCGCAAGTAACTGACGCAAAGTTAGTCACTAGTGTAGTGTGTGAGCAAAGATTGGGGCGAGTTTGAAGCATGCTTGTGCAAATAGTTTGAATCCAGTCTACTTGATCAATTCGGTTTGCAGGTCTATAGAGCGCTTTAGAAGCAGACGGGATCCTAATACAGAGAAAAAAAAAACTCCTGTATGTAGTGTGACCCTTAAAACAGCATTGAAGAAATGTATAAAATTAGGCCGATGCTAAGTGCCAGACTACTCGCCCGATGTCGGGTGGCTAGCGTCAGAAATGCAGCGATGTGATGCTATTAAAGATTGTCTAACTACGACCAAGAAGTTTCAATTGCCCTATCTCGCGTCTGAACGAGACCTGGGCGCTATATCTACCTCGTCTTCTTAGCGTGTGACGGCCCGTGATACGAGTGTATACAAACGTTCCAACGCTGAGTTGAAAGCGATAAGTTTTGTCTTCGGGCAGAGAGAGAAAGAGAGAGAGGAAGAAGGGGGGGGGGGAGAACGAGAGAGAGAGAGAGAGTGACTGAATCTTGCGCGATTGCTCACGCGAATTTTAAAGGATCATGAGCAGAAATCCCCACTGGCCAGAACACGGAACATGCACAGAAATCACCAAGGGCCAGAAGCCGCAGGCCAGGCGGGGCTAATCGACCGAATTCGTTCGCCCGGAACCTGCACAGAAATCCTAGATCGGGCGAGTAGCCTGGCCCTAGTCACCCGACATCGGGCGAGTAGCCACTCCGATAAAATTATTGGGGTGGAGCTTGCAACAGAGAAGTTTTTTGCCCTCATCAACACAATTTAGATTATTTTGGAGGCGGACTTCTTCAACCTTGCCTGGGCTGAGAGGGATACAACCCACAGGAATCGACCTTGGATCTTCTGCATGCAACGATGAAGCAACTACTACACCACAGATGCTGTTTACTGATGAAATAGGCAAAACCTAACCCTTTGAAAGGAAAAAGAAAAATGGGTTGTGCGAATGCATTTAACAAGAAAGGCAGGTGTTCACGAAAATTGCTCAAAAGCAGCTAATTTTTAAAAATGGTGAAACTACAGTCAAGTCAAATATCCAAAATATGGATTTGTTAAATTTTCTCACGAAATTTTCATGTCTGCATAAACTACTTTTTCAAATGATAAAATAATCTTTATTGTGTTCCTTTTTTTTTTTTATTAAAAGGGTTTTTGTTGATGTGGTGCTACGAATTTTCCTAAAAATTGATAGCACATTTATATGTACAGTTGGCACCTCTCTCTCTTCATTGTGTTGTTCAGTTTCAGGACTGTCCTATACTGGGATGCTGTGAACCCCCCCCCCCCCCCCCCCCCAAACCTCCTTTCTCTTTCGATGCCAGCCTTTTCTTTTAGCAATCAAAACACAGAAAACATTCCCCCAAAAAAATCCCCAGAACAAACAAAACGGGACCAAACAAATCCAGAGGAAAAAAGTTGAACTAAGCGTACAGAATATGATACTGTAAACACTTTTATTAAAAATCATGCTCATTCACAACAGTAGCAGTACATGGCAGTCTCTTCACTTTTTCTTCCTTCCTTTGTTGTAAGGTTTGCGACCATCTCCCGTGACACTCGCCTTGCCTCTCATCTTATTCTGTGAAAGAAATGTACAAGTCCAGTGGTATGAGCAGTGACCACCTTCAGTTTGTCACACAATTCTAAACAGCACAGTCTGAGAATTGAAATAGAAAAAAAACATAACCCACCAAGCCTTAAGATGGAATCCACAAGGAAAGAGAAAGAAAAGACCACGTCTTGATAAATAAGAACACCTTAAAAAAAAGGAATACATAGCATTTACACAGCATAAATTCCTGCTCAACACAAGCTTTATGTGCTTTACAAGCTGCATCATTACCCCATAAAACATGATAGCATTCTGAAACAATCTCAACATCACGGCAAGCATACATTGCAAGAAGGAATCCACAAGGAAAGAGAAAGAAAGGTAGTCCAAAATAGATTGTAAAGAGCATAGAGCTTGCAGTTGAGCCGGAATTTGCACTACACAAATGCTATCTATTATTACTATTATTATTATTATCATTAAATTACTTGGAGAAGGGACTTAGATCTGGACCTAAATGAGATGAGATACAGCTCAACAGAAATGGAGGACAGATGTACATGAACAGCTTTTGTTGGTGGCTTATATGAGGGTACTGCAACACGAGGTGAGAAGGGATGATGATGATGATGATGATGATGATGATGATGATGACGATGATGATGAAGAAACAGTTTAAGATCACAGGTATCTTGTCTGGGGATCCAAAGTCTACAAGTATCACTCACAAAACAGACTGTGTGCATTATAAGAACATGCGTGAGACACATCCAGACTCACAAGAGGAGAGGAACTGATTGGAGTCTATTTAGAAACAGTCTAGAAAAAAAAAGAGCCCCCCTCCCCAAGTTCACTATGTCTACAACAATAACAATAAAAAATATAGCAATGCATGTGTATAGATTGCATTTTCACAATACCATACGACATAACAGGGAAAAAGGTTACATGCCTGTACATGGATTGACATGGTGAAAATCTCTTGGTAATTCTAAACTTATAATTAATTGGCCTTCAATGCCACTATCCACACAAGTTTTTCTAAAGTGAAACATTTAAAACATTATTCATCAGAAGAAGGAGAGTGTTTGTAGCTGGCAGGTCTGCAGGTCTGCATCATACATCAAAAGTTTTTAGTGTAGTTTAGGTAAGAGTTTTGTGGTACTCACAACACAATAAGGTCATATAAGTGCCCAAAATAAAAAGGTATTACAAGAAAGTTACAAACACAAAGAAAGAAGGATGAAAGTTACGGACCATAGATAAAAAATTGATAGGAAAGAAGGAGAAGAACACCCACTAACCACCCACATACCCACCAACCACCCACACATCAAAAGTTTGATAACCCAGAGACTACTGAGAGGAAAGCAATAATCCAGAAAAACCAGCCTACATATCCCACACTTACAGCAGCTTTCTCTTTTGTATTTGCTGAGAACGAAGCATCAGCATCCATAGACCACAGACACAGGAGAGAGTCCTCGGCACCGGTAAGGAGTGTCTTGCTCTGTGGACAGTGTTTGAGTGGAATGTTACCAGGGGCGGCTCGTGGGTCTAAAAAGTGGGCGTGCACAATTAGGTTAAAGCAGGTTGAGGATAGTCAAGGGCATGTAAATTAGATGTTTTCTTCATCCTACCTGTTTTGAGAAAATCTATTTGAAGAAGAAGCTTTCCTTTCGTTCTTTGGCTGGAGCAAAAGTGTCCATTATTATGTTGACGAAATTGGGCATGCTGTCATTAATGTCCTTGTGGATCGACATAAACGTACGTCAGTGCGATTTCTGGTATTTTGCATACTTCTCTAAATGTTGTCTCGAATTTGTAGTCCTTCAGAGTTGAATAAAGACCCTGGATTATACATGTACGACACTGAGGAGATTTAAATATTTCATTGCAATGTAATACTTATAATTCTGTTTGTAATTTGATTTTAAGCAAAACAGTAATATTTCTGTAAACGATCCAAAAAGGAAACGACTTTTGATACTCCTGGAATTTGGATGAATGGCAGATTGAGAGTGCATTGATTTTATTTTGCTTCAAGAAACTGTCACAGTTTGAGTAACTATTATGTCACAGGCCTGCTTTGCAGCAATTTCGTTGGTGTTGTTGTGTTTGCCTCTCTTGGAAGCGTGTTTCTCTGTTGTCTGTCTTGTTGATGGAACAAGTATACTGTTTCTCATTTCATCGACAGCTACTTTAAACGTGTCTAGAACTTGTTAGGCTGCTATAGGCATTGTACTTCTGTGTTAGAGGATCCCATAAACAGCGTCAACGCGCGTGTATACTTTGTTGAAATAGTGCAAAAAGAAAGAGAAATGTTTCACTCGTTAATCAATACATTCAGGATATCATCGTGAATGGAATTATCGTCCCAGTGCTCAGACTGAATTTCTTCAAGACAGAGCTGGATCTCTCCTTTCCAAATGAAAACTAATTAGTCGAAACTGTAAATTCCACCTTGTTTGCGAAGGCCATGGAATATTCTGGTGACAAACGCAGATGCATTTTGTAGAGTGGGCAAAAAATGTCGAAGAGCCTGCATAGCATTAGCGAAAAATACCTCAGTTCCGCGACAAACCATCCTTTTCATGACCGCGAAGGGCGAGTTCGTGAGTTTCACAGGACAAAATACACTAGATAACCTTACACAATACGTGCCTGTTCTTTCTCACCAGTTCTTTATTGTGAGACATTGCAATGCGATGACCTACGACTAGCTGCGCTGCTATGTCTACTTGTCCGAAAGTATGATACTTCACGGCATTTTTTACGAGCGCTCTTGATGACTTTCGACTTTAATGCGTTGTTTCACATGGACAAGATCAGTAAAACCTGTCTTAGATTACTTGGGGTCCTCAGTTCCAAAAAGCAGACAGCAGAAACAGTAGGCTTAATCTAGGTCTACAAGGAGTATAATTTGTTGTGTAAGCCACTCCACTTTTTATTCATTGTATTATTTTGATATTTTTAGTTTGGCGAGGACTTAATTCATTCACTCTCTTCTTTTTACTTTGTTCGGTGAACTGAATTTATTTGCAATCAATTTCATTCATCCTGCATTGGAATACGCACTCGAGTAATAAAGCTTTCATCACCACTACACCATTCCAACTTCTAACACAATGACATAATTACATCATGTTGACCTCGCTCAAGTTCAGGGTTACAGAGGTGGGGCTAGAGATATAAATGGCAAGACAATGGACCAATCGCACATCGTTGGGAGCACTCCGGTGGATTGCTCCAAAGCTATCATAATACGGGCATTGAATTGTGTAGGCTGTCGTGAACTGGTTTGAGATTGCGTTATTTTTAGACTGCCTCTATGGGCTTTGTTCGGCTGGTGCACATCGAGATTGTGCCGCCTTATTATTATTTATGAACTAAGAAACTCAGTCAAAACGTCATCGTTGTTTGGGTCATCCCATAGAGCATTTTCAGAGAGAGATTACACCACTGAACATACTATTTTTTACTTGGGTGAAGCAAAAGAACTTGGTTGGTATATTAGATGTTGTAGAGCTGTTGTAGATGTTGTAAGGAGCGAATAGGCTCTGGCGAGGAACTTGTACGTAAAACTGATTGGATGATGGATGGTAAAGGTTCTTTTGTTGTCACTTTGAGGGTGTTGTGCGCTAAAACTTTTGGGCGGCACTGCACGACCGTGCTCTATGGACCAGCCGCCGCTGAATGTTACACCATTTACAGCACAATTTTAGACATTATATTATTATCATTAGAGGCTGGACTTGTGGCATAAATTAACAAATTCCCTGTATAATATCTTATACTGTTACATTTAAAAGTGCTGAAAACTTTTCAAAAGGAATGATTTACTATTAGTCACTTCAAAAAGAGATAAGGAACATAGTCAAAGTTCCCCTTCAAATTTCAAAGTACGGTATAAAAACAAAGACCACTCCCTGCCATACACACACCACATTTCCGAATGTTACAGACCGAGGCTAATAAAAAAAGCATGCTCTCTACTAAGGCAGAAGCCATCTTTAACATCAATTTTCTCCACAAACCTTCTTGGCTTCCTTCTCATCCACTCCACCAACAATTAGTTTGCAATGCAATTTTACATTATATTGATGAAACCAGGCGCTCATCAAAATAATGAACTCGAAGAACCTGGCATTTTTCTGACAATTTGGCAATTTTTATAGAATAATGCAAAGAATTCTTAAGACAGATAACAGTTTTGAAGGAAATGAAATGGAAAGATACCTTAGTTTTTTAAAACTTTGCCAAGCCTGGTAAGTGACCATAACTCAGACGATATCCATAGCGACCACCTGTCTATAACATTCAATTTTCTCTGTGATCTAGAGTGATCATTATGGATAGTTTCAACTGTAAACATTAAAGCAGACCTGCATGTGAGCCTCAACCAGATTGTCTGAAAATTTTACACCCCCCCCAAAAAAAAAACCCCAACTTATAAGAGCTTTTAAATTGTGGCTGTCATAAAAGGAAGGACTTCCGAGTTACGAGCAACCACCCAAACAAACACAATAAAGAAGAGACCTAACCCTAACCCAAACCCTACCTCTAGGCCTAACCCAAAAAAGAACCTGCAACGGCCCTCATGTAAAAAGGCCAGCACAAGTCAAAAACAAAAAAAGATACTCCAAAACAAACAAGGAGCATAATAATAATATGGCCTACATCGCTATAAAGAGTTTGAAACAATAATACAAAAGAATTGGAATATATATGAATCCTCCATATAGATCTAGTTATATTATAGATCTAGTGATCTAAATAAATCTAGATCTAGATTAGATCTATATCTAGATCTAGTAGAACAAGTGAATAGGAATAGGCCTTGAACAAGAAATCCGCATCCGATTCCAAACAGAAGGACTCAGCTGAGTCTAGATTAGATCTTTAGTCTAAGTAAATAATTCATGCACCTGATAAAATGCGTTTTACCAACATTAATATTACAGCACAACCTATAATAGGGTTTGACACAATAGAACTGGAATATGAATCCTCCACTGAGGTCTATAATGATCTATAAATCTAAATCTAGAGTAGAACAAGTGAGTCGAACTTGAAAGAATCCACATGATCTGAACAATCAGTAGACAAACGAAATTCAAAATAGCCGCTCAAGTACGAAACTGAAAGCAGATAATTTAGGTCATCGTACTTTTCGTATTCGTATTTCTACCCAGGTTCCGACAATTATGTCGGAAACGCCAACGTCGGCAGTCGGCGGTCGGCACGAAAACGAAAGTGCCGACAAAGCCGACGGGAGAAAAAGGGGGCGCTGGCAGTCCGCCAGGTCTCGCACTACGCACATTGAATAGTACAGGTGGGCCTAGCGATAGCATCGGCCGGCTCACGGGTCAGGTCACGATTGTCAGATTTCAGACAATTGTCGGCAAACATGCAGGTCTAATTAAAGGCTTGTCAACTTTTGAAAATAATAAAGAAGATCTCTGTATTTATGGCAAATGAGGCAACACCGAGTCGGTATCGAGTCAATGTAGTGCGCAAATTTGGCCTCCAGGTTTACTTGAGCGTTATATATAGCCAAACCGCCAAGCATTCAAGGACGCACAGGTAATCTGGATATTCTAGTAACATACAAGTTCCAATATCGCTGATTTCATTCGACATTTCCGTGCAAATAATTGTAATAATATTATCGAAGTGTCTATGTACACAGTATCCGGGCACCTAGCCTCAATATCTACAGTCTCAGTGTTATGTACACGGTAACCGGGCATGTAGCCTCAATATCTACATACACAGTAACCGGCAACCGAGCATGTAGTCTCAGTGTCACCAGAGACTATATAATTAAATACTCTCTGGTGTCACGCACACGGTAACTGGGCAGTTCAGAACTCCAAGTTCAGTTTCTGTCATCCGGTGTTGCCTTCATCCCCACCCCTCCCCCGACTGTACCTTTAAAAAAATCAATAATCCCCCCCCCCCCATTCCGGAGCCCTATACTTCGCAGCCCACAGATTTTGAATGAAATTTGGTGACCCCAACCAGTACTCACAATGTGATGCACACACACAGGTTCACTGACCTGTCACGATGGCGAGCCCGACAAGATGCTTTTATGACTTTCTATTTTTTTCAGCAAGTGACAGCACAGGACAAATATATTGATTTATTTTCATTCCGGTTACCTGTACATAGATTCTGAGACTAGATGCCCGGTCACCGTGTACGTAGATACTAAGAATAGGTGAGACTATATGCCCGGTTACCGTGTACGTAGATACTCCGTAATATTATAGTTAATAATATAGCACTACTCCAAAATCTGGAAATCAAGACTGTTATCGGGAAGTTGGGCTGGATTGATAACAACAACAACATCATGAAGTCGGGAGTAGTGCATCTGATTCGGGAAATTCCCGACAAAATCGGGAAGGTTGACAGGCCTGACATTATTTCCGGCACACTTTCAGTCACAAACATTACCTTATTGTCCCAATGAGAACATCGAATCGTCGCTGAGTGACCACCAGACAATGTAGCTGAGATGTGTGACCCAGACGAGGAATGAGATATCAGCTGGACATCACCACTGTAAACAGCGTTCATCTTGTGTTAGAATAAGCAATAATAGAACCAAAAAACATGAACGAGGTGTGATATATTTTTTAAAAAGGGAATAACATTGATCAAAACACCCTATAAACAAAAAAATAAATAATTTGAAAAAATAAAATAATCATTCAATCATAATAAAAAGCAGATCTAGTAGCACATATAGAAACCACTCAGAGAAAGAAAAAAAAAGGGAAAAGGTGTAAAGCACAAAAGATAAAGAAAAAGAAATGACAAAAACACAGATAGACACAGCAAGGACAAAATGTGGAGGTTTTACTTCTTCTAACTTCACATGCAACCCTAAAAACCTCTCCTGTCCAATAAAATCCAGAAACAATGAAAGAAAGAATGACTTATACCGGTGACTTTATCACTCTCTTTCTTTCACACACCTGTTTTCTGACAGACACATACACAAACACACAAGCATACACACACTCATAAATATATACTCAGCACTACATCATTTTCTTCCCTACTAAAACAGCCACACACAGAGAATAAGCAAAAGTACAAGAGAAGCTATACAGGCCAACACTGGAATTAAGCGGTACAGCCCAGTAAATATAACAGATATCGGTCTTCTAGCATTATGCTTCTTTTTTAAAAAGAGGTACATTTACGCCCCCGTTGACACAGTTTGCATCATATAGGAAGAAGGCTTCAGACCCTGCCTGTCAGGGTCAACCCCGGCTGAGAGGGATACACCATCCCAGCAGAAAGACCAAAAATGATAAAAATGTTTTCCCCACTCAGAAATCAAGCTCACTTCTCCTACGAGCAACAATGAAGCATGTAACCGCACCACCACAGAAGTTGATCACGTATGATGTGATCGAGAAGAACAAGAAGTGAATAAGTATACATCATACCTGTGAGTGCCACCAACTGTAAGCGCCGATGACTTGTCTGTTACTGCAGTCAGCTCTGGTATACAGTCCACTAAATACTGGACAGGACTCGCTTCCTGTACCGCGAACACATGAGAGGCAAACACATTATAATTAAATCCTAAAATTTGAACAAGTGTGTGACAAATGCTCAATCATTCAAATAGTTTGTGCTTATTGATTTACTTCTAAAACTTATGATCAAGGTAACCATGTGAGGCTTCAAGAATTAGAAATGCCGAGGCCAAGAAAAAAGCCTGCAAGCTGCACTCATAAATCTAAGAGTGGAAATGAAGCTTTTAAATGCTCAAAAGGTGGCAAACTCTTCTCTGCCAGATACTACGGTCTCATTAGCCATAGCAGAGGCAACAAATCATCTTAGTCCTTATTTCCTTCATTTCTCTTAAAGAATCTGTTAAAGAAAATTTCTCCCCTGCAGATATATTGAGCGAGCCTACTATTATTACAAGTTATGACTACACAAGAGAACAATCAAGCACAAACTCTGTGCTTTGCTTTCATTCAAATAAGAGAAAAATGAAGTTTTTACTTACCCCTAGAACACTTTGGAGATCCTCTATTGCACTTAATTCATCTCCCTGGAAACATTTATAAAGAAATAAAACAGTTTTATTAATACTAAAGTAAGACAAAAGTAAATTAAGTATCATGATGTGTAGTGGGTGACAACTCTGTGTATGTACATTGTGATTTGTATGATGATCAGTGTTTATGAACTAGTGAAAGTGTACACATGTCCGTGCAAGTCTGTGTGAGAGAGAGAGAGAGAGAGAGAGAGAGAGAGAGAGAGAGAGAGAGAGAGTGAGAGAGAGAGAGAGAGAGAGAGAGAGCCTTTGGGTCAGCATGCATGAACTCGAAAAGTACATGTACATATCACGTATAATATACTTTTCAAGACAATAGCTCACTACCCAATTCCCGTCATTTATTTTCATTCGCAGAAATGAACCAATAACAAGAATAGGCTCAAGTGACTTAAAAAATACAATGACCCTGTGTAGGACGTCCACCTGTCTACGACAACCATTTTTTTCAATGACAATGGGAGGCCATCTTGGACAATTCAGACAGCACTACTGAAATAAATATAACAGACATTCAGAATGATCTCTTTGATATACACAACTAATAATAATAATAATAATAATACAGAGACAGGTAACAAATATCCTCACCTCCAGTGCATCCCACACATAGAACATGTTGTCGGAGGTGACACAGTAAACACAGCTGTCGTCTTCTCCGCACCAACCAACACGAGCCTGGGGAAAAAAAAGAATGTTTTGAGCAACAGAAAACAATATTACAACAGTACTCTTTTTAAATTTTAGTAGAGGTTTCACGGCGCTCGCAACTGCATAAGGTCATATGAGCGCCAGAGAAGATTAGAGGTGTTACAAGAGAGTAACAAACATAAAAAAAGAAGAAGGGGAGAAAAGGACGATAGATGTTAGATAGAAAAGAAGAAGCAAACCACACCAGAGCACCCGCCAACCACTCATCGACAGTATTGACCTCTGACTACACATTAAGACAGAATTTTCAAAGAAAGAGAAAGAAAGGAAAGGTTTTAAATATCAAGTTAAAAATAAACTGTAAATGAGCCAGCAATAATATGACAGCAAATGTGTACAGATGAATATGAATAATCTTATGAGCTCAAATGTTGCTTGAATTAACTCTTTCATTACTGATGCAAAGCATCTAGAACCCAAATGGGGAGCAGTTGCTATAGAAATCTATAAAAACTTTCATTGAATATGTCACCTTTTAAAATGGTTCAATACATGATTATATAATTTCCTGATAACCAGCAACATAAGTTTTTAACCAACTCCCTCAATAACTTCCAGGAGTGGACTGTTGTCAGGTTAATACAAGTAGATCCCCAGAATTCAAAACTTACAACATCGGATGACGCATTGGATGTGACCTGTAAAGCATCTTCTTCAGAAGTCTCTGACAGGTCAAACGTGCACACGAGGCCGTCGGAAGACCCCGATGCTAGATACTGATCACTGCCTGGCTTGAAAGACACCTGGGAAGAGGGATAAACAACATGTGTACACAAATTCAGTAAGGGAAACGATGCTTTAACCATACGCCACTAATATTACGAAAACATCCTCGATAAGTCACTGACAGTTCTCCAATGAGGGAAACGTCTTTTAAACTAGATGTCTTTCATCAAAGTACATCAAGATTATAAAGATATTTGTAAGCATCAACATAATCTAAGAACAAATAAAGGAATGTCATTAATTTGAAATACAGGTCCCAAACTCCTCGTTCTTTAGAACAGCTGCCCCACAATAAACAAGTTGTCCATAGTAGCAAGATTTGGACACAAACAGGTGATCACCAAGAGGAGTTTTTGGAATTGAGCTACTAAACAAGACTTTTCTTTTATGATCTATGTGATTTTACACCCCCAGTTGCATTAATGTAGATAACATAGAAGACAGGCTTCTGATCCTAAATGTCCGGGCCAATACAGGTTGAGAGGGATCCAACATCCTAGCAGAAATACTGAGATACTCTATAAAAATATCTCCCCACTTAGGAATTGAACTCGGGTCTCCTGCATATGACAGCCAAGGGCCTGATAGCAACACCACAGTTTAAACATTAAACAGGATTAAACATCTCAAATAAGAGCACAAGGCTGTCAGATCTCATAACAACACATCACAATATCTACCTGAGTAATGTCATCATCATGGCATTCATTATAACATCCAAGCACTGCCCTTTTTCTCAAGTCCCTGGAAGAAAGATCAGCACAGAAAGTAGAAAATAGCACACTGTATCCAACTCTGGGCAAGTTTCAAGTTTTCTGAATATAACATTCAGAGACAGGCAAGCAATGTCAATTGAGATTTAACATTCAAGAAATTAAAGCAAAGGTTTCTGATAACTGCGTTTTTTATAATTCCAATTAAGATACAAATATGAAAGGCGTGCTAACAAAAGGAGTTACTTCTCTCAATCCAAAAATGGAGGTTCAGATGAAAATTGACAATGGGGTCAGATTTACAGATTTTTAATAGATGCCATTTTAAGTCTACCGAGTCTTTTATTATTCGATACTTACAAATTGGACAAACTCCACTGATAAAGTTGATGTATCAATTTTCATAAGGCTAAAATCCGAGAAGCAACTCATTTTGTCAGTATACCTCACATATTATAGTCTTTGTTGAATTATTTTTATTGTATTTTTATCTTTTTTAACTTTATATGAAACACCCAAGAACAATTACATGTACTTTACCACATAATTCAGAATGTAGCGTCGGTGGCCTTGTGGTTAGGCTCTCGGACTCGCAACCGTAAGGTTGTGGGTTCGAATCCCGTCAGGGGCCCGACGTTGTGTCCTTGGGAAAGGCACTTTACACGAATTTTCCTTGGGAATGGATACCCGGCTATAGAAAGCGAACGATCTTGTCAGTTTGTTAGTGTTTGAGCGCTTAATCAGCTGCTTGCACTGCATGCTTCCCGGGAAGCTGAGAATGTTTCGGAGTGTTCTATGATCTGCTGGGGTAATAATATAGTGTAAAGCGCATAGAGCCTGCTGTTGAGCGGGGATATGCGCTATACAAATGCTATTTATTATTTATTATTATAATTAATTATAAGGAACTATCTGTTTTTGTACGTAGATAAAAAGTTTAAAAATTTTTATGATACAAATGAATACAGTCTAAATTGTCCAAGATGGCCATCAAAGTGGATGTCTAAGACAGTGTCAGTGTCAATATAAAATGTATTTGAAATAGACATCAGGGCACACATTTCTGAAAATATATGTGTCACGACATGGTGGAATCAGGCTCTCGTCAATTTTTGTGCATGTGGAGTTATTGGTAACTTCTTAAAGTTTGTTTATTTATGTTGCTTTTGATGAAAAAAAATACCCATCTATCTTGAGCAGAAGTGAAGATGTCTGTGATTGAAAGAGGTAAGTTCACTTGGTTTCAGCGGTAAAAATAACAAGAAAATAGCCGCCAAAAGTTGGTAACTTCAATAGCTAAAGAGTCTTTGAAAACTGAAAAATTGCATATTTTGAGCATTTAATCAATGTTTTTCAATGAAATTCACATGGAAATATGTTTTTATTTGGACATAAAAGGGTTGAACAAAAAACCAAACAATCGATTAAAATTGCGAAGCTGGTGGGAAAATGCCTGTTTCTCCAATTTCGTTATTTTGACGAGCGTCAGATTTCATCACACAATGCCTCACATATAGCCTTCATCCCTTTACTCTCTGCGTGAAATTCTGTCCTTCCAATCAGTATTCAGTGGTAAGGCTACCGGACCCTCATCGTGAGATTGTGAGTTTGAGGGTTCAAGCATCAGCTCTGTCGGACATTGCGTCCTGCCTTGGGAAAGACACTTTTCACGAATTTCCCACTTGGCTTTGTCTTTTTGGAGATGGATGTTTAACTCGGAGGTCACGCCTCTTAAATAACCTCATAGTGTCGATAGGGGTATTAAACCTACACCATTTCACCATTTTTAATCAGCTTTTTTACTTAAAAAACTAAAATTAGAAAAAAAATCAACTGCTCAGAGTAAGACTCCGGCATACATCACTTTTTTAAATGGCGTACAGCAGAATCTTACACTAAGCAGTCCAGATGGACCCAACAGACAGAGAAGCATCATCGCAAAGGCTCACCAAAAGAGCAAGAAAGCGTCATCGCTGATCTTCTCAGTGCCGGCACACAGCAGATGGTCCGAGTGACTCACATCCACAGACAGGAAGTCACCTTGTACGTTAGGGGGAGCTGAGCAGAGACAGAGTACAAGAAAGATGATGACACTCACAATACGAGTTACGCAACTTATAGAATAACAAATCTAGTGCATACATAAAGCACACACACACATTGCGAACAGATTTCCCAGACCAACATTTTTTCTTATTTGTATGTATATTCTTGGTAGGCCTACATAAAACATGTAGATAGCAAAATTTGCAAAAAAAGAAAAGATTTCTATGTCCCGCCAATTTCGCTAAGTGCTTGCAAGACCATACATAATCTGATGCATTGACTACTGTTCTTTTACTTTATTTGGTCATTTGTACAAGTAATTGTCTTTGACAGGTGGACGTTAGAGCAAATTTGAATGTATTATGAAAATATTTTTAATCATTATATACCAGCGCAACAATTTTTTGGCTCACTTGCACCAGAGGATTTATGAGCTAATGTGGACATTTTTCAAAGGCAGTTTAGGAGTTTTAAAAAGTAAGATAAAATATCTTTAAAATGTTACATAGATTTCTGTTTTACATGACAATAATGCAGGGTGCATTGACTCAATTCAGACCAGTAAGAGGTGAAAAGAAACACAAACTCAAGATGAAGTTAAATATTTCAACAAAACCTACTTTTTTAATTACCTTGAAAAGTACGATCGTGATACCCTTTGGAAGTCAATGTGAATCATCCTTGTCCTCTTTACGCCCCTTCTTTTATAGCTTATAAAGACAAAGAAGAGCTACTTTCACAGCAGAGCCAAAAGAGCTGCCTTCAAAATAACCTACTAAAGTCTCACAGAGGAGCAAGGAAGTAACTCAGATTAGAAGCATAACAATATAAATATTTAATAAAGATTTGCTTTTTCGTGCTTACTTTTTAAAATCTGTGTTTCAGAATTCGTCCTGACATCCCAACATCTGAAAAGGAAAGGAAAACAAAAAAAGAAATTTGTTTAGCTTCAAAATATACAAAAAGCAAGGGTTGTCTGAAAATTTATAATAGAATCTAAAGCCTAATAATAAGAGGCATTCCGAGTTTGCTCATTTAATAATTTTCAGAACATTAAAAAAACTTTCTGCAAAAATATATGTACCCACAAAGAAAACAATTTTAGCTCACATAATATTATAATCTTTAGAACTAGATTTCAAAAGCTGTCAACAAAAATAGCGGTACCCAGTAGGAAAACACCTTCAATTTCATAAAAAGTTCTGCAGCATTTATGCCCTTTACTACTCAAAATTCTTCAGTATCAGTACCTAGGTCTTCCCTTTCAGAAAACACACAAAACAAACAAAATTATAATTTCCAAGGTCAGCTTGGTGATGAAAACAGCTACAAAACAGTGCTATCAAAACTTGAAGCAAAATTTTCCTGATAACTAAATTCTGGCCTGGCAGCATGCGTAGCAGCCTACCTCACAGACTTGTCCTTGGAACATGAGAACGCCACATTTGGGTCTGTTTTGCCAAATGTCACTCCAGTGACTGTACTTTTATGACCTGTCAGATAAGATAAGACAGATAAGAAAAACCTTTATGGTTCAGATCCTGGCACATTGGTTTAGTGATTCACCACATACACACATGTATACACACACATTATGTATGCATGTACAGTCGAACCTGCCCTGACGGCCACCTCTATAAGACGGCCACCTGTACAAACGGCCACCTGTACAAACGGCCACTTTCCATTTCCCCCCTTGCGTTTTTTCTATATACAGTCAAACCTGTGTAAGACGGCCACCCATTGTCAAGGAGAAAAGTGGCCGTATAAGACAGGTGGCCGTCTTATGCAGGACTGATCAAGATGAAGAAAACAAACCATTCCCATCTGAAGTCCCAACCGAAAGTAGCCTTTGTTATTTTTATTTTGTTGCTGATTTTGCGCAAGGGGGACAATAATACGAAATGTATAAGACGAGGAAGACCGAGTGCCATGTTAAAACGAACACATGGGTTGCCACCACTCGGAGAACAAGCGACGCTTCTGTCGCAAGTTCATGTTGACGTCCGTTGTTACTTTGTTACAGACTGGGTAAACAGTGACCCCTCATCTCACTTACGATTTGTGTATGAGTTCTCGGCGGGGCTTATGGGTTATGAGGGATCACACGCTTACCTCACCAGCAGCTGAAAATTGGTACCTATTGGTCAACAGTGGGAGGGGCCTACGCAACATGATCGGTTGGAGGGACTACTTAACGACAACGACAAGTGATTATGACGGCTCCCCCACAATGCCAAAGGGCCAATGCACAATTTATGACAAAACGTAATGAAGTCACTAAGGTGGCCGTCTAAGACAGGTGTTATTGCTTAGTGTGACAGGGGTTGTGTGTTAAAATATAATTATATAGAAAAAACACAAGGGGGAAATGGAAAGTGGCCGTTTGTACAGGTGGCCGTCTTATAGAGGTGGCCGTCAGGGCAGGTTCGACTGTAATTTAACTGTGTAAAATGGGCACCTGTCCAACGCGGCCGCGGCCACCATATTTTAACACACAACCCCTATCACACTAAGCAATAACACCTGTCCTAGACAGCCACCTTAGTGACTCCATTACATTTTGTCATAAATTGTGCATTGGCCCCTGGCGTTTTAGGTGAGCCGTCATAATCCAATCACCTGTTGTTGTTGTAAGGTAGTCCCTCCAACCGATCATGTTGTGTTGGCCCCTCCCACTGTTGACCAATAGGTACCAATTTTCAGCTGCTGGTGAGGGAAGCGTGCGATCCCTCATTACCCATAAGCCCCGCCCAGAATTCATACACAAATCGTAAGTGAGATGTGTGGTCACTGTTTACCCAGTCTGTAACAAAGTAACAATGGACATCAACATGGACTTGTGACAGAAGCCTCGCTCGTTCTCCGAGTGGTCGCGACCCATATGTTTGTTTTACCATAGCACTCGGTCCCCCTTGTCTGACACATTTCGTTTTATTGTCACCCTTGCACAAAATCAGCAACAAAATAAAAATAACAAACAAAATACAAACCAACAACAACGACAACAACAAAAACAACAATAATGCAGCTACTTTCGATTCGGAATGGGGTTTGTTTTCTTCATCTTGATCAGTCCTGCCTAAGACAGCCACCTGTCTTATACGGCCACTTTTTTCCTTGACAATGGGAGGCCGTCTTACACAGGTTTGACTGTACATAAAATTGAAAGTAAAAGAAAAGCAGGGATACAAATCATTCTGATAAGAGGTCAGCATGAGGAACAAGACAGAACTTTCTCTGTCAGGAGATACAACGGAAGATTCCCAAGTTCGTTGCATATTTTTTTAAATGACGCAGTTTTCTTGTGGTGCTGGTCAATAATGTGTGGGTACTTCACCTTAAATAATGGCAAAGTGGTAAAAAGGTGCATTAAATACCACAAAAAGAACAAACAAATGGTTTTAATGATGTTTCCCATGATGTTATGCTCAGTTCTACATAAACGGCAATTTTTAGCTTTTTTAGTCAGAGTTTTACAACACTTGCAACTGGATCGATAAAAACAACAACAATGACAATTGCAAAACAATAAGGTCACATAAGTGCCAAAAGTATTACTACAGTTAACATACAAAGAAAAGAAGGAGAAATAAGGGCGATAGATGTTTGATAGAGAAGAAAGAACAAACTACATCACAGCATCCGCCCACCACTCACAGCAATTTTTATGTATGTGCTCTATACTTCTTTACTGTCAGCTAGGTAGGGCAAACATGCAGGACACTACTGTGAAAAACTCACCACAAAGGCTAGTTTTGGTAGTTAGACGACTCCTCAACATGAGACGAATATTGAAGTTGCTGCACACGGCTGCTACAAGAGGGTCAGGCTCACTGAAATTAAAGTTTGGTAAGAATCAAAGCCTAAAATTCTATTTCGGCAAATCACACTCATAACATCTTGCAACGAATAAATGAATATGGCATGGGATTATAGACGTTGTAACTGCACTACAGAATACATTTCTACAACAAGGTGTCTGCAAAACTATAGCCTCTGGGATCCTTCTACTTGTCATTAAAAGGAAACCGATTGCCATAGTAATAAAACACATGCCAGGTTGGACAAAAACAATAAAATAGCAAAGCAACCTGCCTTTATCAATTCATATTTATCTTCACAATGTATAAGTATATATATTATATATATATATGTGAAGCAGCGCGGTGGAATCAGGCTCTCGTCAATATTTGTGCTTACAGAGTTATTGGTATCGTCTTAAAGCTTGTTCACTTGTCTTTATTTGGATGAAAAACAGTATCCATTTATCTTGAATACAAGTCGAGACATTTGCAAATGAAGGAGGTGGTAACCTGTTTTCAGAGGTAAAATTAGTGACAAAATGGCCACCAAAGATTAGTTATTTGCTTTGCTTAAGAGTCCATGATAATTGAAAATGTACATTTGTTGTGCCATTAGTCAACGTTTTTTTTTTTTAAATCTACACAGAAATGAGTTCTTTAATGGGCATGAAAGGTGTTGAGCCAAAAAAACAAAAATTTGATAAAAATTCACAAACCTGCGGAAAAATGCAGGTTTCTTCACTTTGATTATTTTGACGAGAGCCTGATTCCACCACGCTGCCTCACATATCTATTTAGAGATGTTATTGTCTATCTATTTCTTTGAAAAACCAGATCATATTATCATGGTTAAAAGCTCCATTATTGTCAAGATGTTGTAGCTGCTTTAATCTGATAATCCACTGTACTGATACCCTGTACGATCAAACTTTGAAGACCAACTCAATTACAAACAAAAATTGTTAGAGCTTGCAATATCTATCGACTGCTATTTCTTCCCTTGATGAAGATTATAAACAATACAACCTACTGAAGTAAGGAACGGTACAAGAACACAAATACTAATACAATCTACCTGGACTGCACTGCAAAGTCTAGCACATAATCTGGCTCGGCTTTATGAATCTGTACCGCTGACTTCTCCGCCAAGTGGAGTTGGTTCAACTGTTGTAACAACTCTGACACATTCTCCATTGTGCGAGATTAATTCTGCCTGTATGTACTCTGACCAAAGCAGGAACTGGCGACAAAAATTTTTACATTTTGAAATATCACATTAAGTCGTAAACTTTGAAGTTGCACCAGATCCACCAAATGGAAGGCTGAGGGGTTACACCAAAGGGTCATTTTATAATAGCACAAATAAATATTACGATATACAGTCAAACCTGCCATGACAGCCACTTCTTTAAGACGGTACCTGTACAAACAGTCACTTTCCATTCCCCCCCCTAGTGTTTTTTCTATATATAATATAACTGTGTAAAACAGGCACCTATCCAACACGGCCGCCGCCACCCTATTATATCAACCCACGGCCAAATCTATCTGCTTAAGGCGGCGAGACTTTGTCAAAAATTATGCATTTTCCCCTGACGTAGTGGACAAGTCGTCATAATTCATTCACCTGTCGTTGTTGTCAGTCCTTCCAATGGATGAAACAGTCATGTTGCTTTGGTCGCTCCCAATGTTTACCCAAGTTGACCATTGGGTAACAATAAATTTTCAGCTGCTGGTAAGGGAAGCATGTGATCTTATTACTCAGTCCGAAAACCCAGTCAGTAACAATGGAAGTCAACACAAACTCGCAACAGAAGTGCTGCTCGTTCGCCGAGTGATGGTGACCCATTTATTCATTTTACTATGACACTTGGCTTCCTTGTCTGAAACATTTCGTTTTGTTAGAATGACCTTTCCCGGAACCATAATTTTAAAATATAAATAAAACTAACAACTAAAAGTCCTACAAAAAACGTCCTATCCTCTCCCCCCTTTCAAAATAAATAAAACAACAACACATATTAATCAGCCCTAGGGCAGTCCTAAGCATGCAACCACCTCCAGTTGGGATCTCAAGAGTAAATAATTTGGGAATTTTAAATTTTGATCACTACTGCCTAAGACAGCCATCTGTATTATACGGCCACTTTGTCCCTCCACAAAGCGAGGCAGTCTTACACAGGTTCGACTGTATATATTATAGCTATATATATAGATCTAGATCTATACGATCACTATAGAAAAAAAATTGTCTGCTACATTCCCACAGATCTTCACTAACTGAATCATCAGGACCTGGCCCCAACAAACTGTGTCCAGTATCAGAGGCTTCTGGTTGCCACACCCACCCCCAACAATAATTAATAATTAATCATTATTTCCACAAAAAGTCATGAAACATGCAGAAAAATTTCAATCAATTCAATACTTTTGAAACAACAGATTTTAATACATTGATGAAGCTACAGAGAGCACCTAGATCTAGATCTAGCACACCTCTCAGATTGGACAAAAATATAAAAGATGTAGATCTAGATCTAGATCTAGAATCTAGATCTAGATATCTAGATCTAGACTCTAGTCTAGATTCTATTTTCACAATCTATTTTTGTCGGTACTCAGGGGTTTCCCTCTTGATTCTAGATCTACACATGTACGGCATACCGTCACGTACGTCATACTGTCAGTTGGCACGCATTTGGCCTAAAATTGGACAACCAGACAATTATGCGATAATCTGGAATGCTGTCTGCTAAACAATTCCGTTCAACATTGTTTTGTTTTCAAGTTCAACAATTTTGAGCAGAATCAGACACCTGTGTGAGCAGAAATGATCCATTTCATCTCCAAATGTAAGAACCGCGTTCAGCCATTACGGCTTGCAGATGCGCAATACATCTTTGGAAATAAGCTATTGGTTCTACAATCGTACCCGCAGGATTCGTTTCGCATTTTTATTCAGTTTATAAGGTGTCTAGTTACCGCCACAAACCATTCGCTGCTCTTTGTTGTAACAATTGGCGCCCGTAGGGGGGGTGACCATATGGGGTACAATTTTTTAATGGATGTACCCCATACCGTCACCGTATTTTTTACATGGTGCGTGACTTGAAAAATAGTTATTTCTTGGGGAGTGCTTATTTAGGCCACATATGGCCTAAATAAGGTAAGGGAGTTTTTTTTGCTTATAATTTAGGCCTAAATAAGGTCACCCTATTTCTTGACGGACTATGGATGGCATCTTAGTACTTTAGATTTTTTAGTTTCTATGATTTGATATAGATCTAGATAGATCTATTTAGACCTATTTAGACACGGATTCATTAGAAAATGAGCGACTTTAGATTGTTCTTTTTTAATGTTTGAAACAAATTTATATGAAGGAAACTCTATCCCGTTGTATGTAATGATGATGATGATGTTCCTCTGTCCAATGTATACACATGTTGTGATGATGTTCTTCCAGCCACTGTTTCCACATGTTGTGATATTGTTCCTGCTCCTACTGCTTCTGTTTCAGAAGAAAAACTTGCTGGCCCTCCCCCAACTGCCCTTGTCTCTAGTTGTGAGTGGTCAGTTGATGCCCTAGACTTTTCGACCACAGGTCTGGAATTCTCGGGGATCGAATGTACCTCCGAGGACTTCCTGGATCCTGCAGCAGAGTTTCAGCTACCTTTGGTTTTGACCCCAGCTCAGGATCCTGTGGACAACCAGGACTATGTCTATTGTCTACCTGAGCAGGCATTGAGACCATCGGAAGATAAAACTCTGGTGACACCCCAAGCCCCCCAAAAACTGCCTCAGGACAACACTTTTGCTTTGTCCTTGACAGTCTAATTGATTACGCCATTGCCACAGACATGCATTGGGTCCGCCGTTGCCATTGGCACAAAATCGAACCTAAGGAGAACGAGGGGGCATACAAAAAATACCTTGATTTGTAAAATCAACTCATTCCTGCCCCCTCGTCGTCAACCTGCCCATACCAGCAAGCTGGAACTATCTAAGGTTTCAACACAGAGAAGCGGGCTAAGGCCCCTACATACATGTCTTACGGGCAAAGTACAAAGCATGGGAGGAGGCGAAGAAATTGGAAGAAGAAAAGAAAAAGGAAGAAGTGGAAAAGAGGAAGAGAGAAAGGGAGAGAAAAGGGTGGAGAAGGAAGAAGAGAAAAGAGGAGAAAAAGTAACGAAGTTGGAGAAGCAGAGAACAGGGAAGAAGAAGAAGAAAAAACAGGGAAATTCATGTATGTGTGCGAGTAAGATGTTCATGTGAGTTTGTTGTGATACATGTTGGAAGAGTAAAATGAAGCATTCAAGTACTTGTGTGTGAGTAAAAGATGTTAATAATAATAATAATAAATGACATTTATATAGTGCTCAACCCCTAATAAAGTACACAGGCTCTGAGCGCTTTACAATACAGTACAACATACAGCAGTAACATGAAACATTGTGTTCCCGACTAAAGAAAATTATTCCAAATATTCATCTTATTAATTTAAAAACAGAAACGACTTCAGCTGACCTTTGAATGAATCAAAACATTTGATTTCTCTCAACGTACTTGGTAAAGCATTCCAGATCTTGGGGCCTTGGTATTCAAATGCCCTTTCACCCATTGTTTTAAGTTTCATAGATGGTAAAATAAATTTCTTTTTGTCAGCTGATGACCTTAAACTGCGAGTTGGAATGTACAGTCTTAACAGATTTGATAAATATGATGGTGCATTATCATTCAAACATTTGTGACATATGGTGGCCAACTTGTACACAATCCTTTTCTCAACAGGAAGCCAATGCAAAGTTCGTAAAAGAGGTTTAGCAGAGTCTCGCTTTCTTTTCCGTAAAACTAAACGTGCTGCATTGTTTTGGACAGTTTGAAGTTTTTTAACTTTCTCCAGTGATATTCCTGATAACAAGGAGTTACAATAATCGAGTTAAGATAAAATTAAGCTAGTTACTAGTAAAGCAGTATACTTGGTATTGATCAGATGACGTATTTTATTAATTTTTCTTATTTCTAAATACATGCAGCTGATCAGATGATTTACCTCAGCCGACATTGACAAATAAGAATCAAAATAGATTCCAAGATTCTTAACTTTTCTTGAAAATAAAATTTTTGCATCACCAATTTTAATGTGATCATGGTCAACCTCTTTAACAGACTTTGCATTGCCTGCCAGAATGACTTCTCTTTTATCATCATTTAACATCAATTTATATTTGTTCATCCAGTTTTTCACTAAGGCAATACAATTTTCAGCACGATGGACAAGTTCATCTAAGTTGGTAAACAATGTTGAACCATAAATTTGGGTATCATCAGCATAGAAATGGTATTTTAAGTCATATTTAACTATTTACTTGACAAGTGGTGGAGTATAAATGGTGAACAAAACTGGACAGAGGACTGAGCCCTGGGGGACCCCATACTTAAGAGCATGATCTGATGACTTAAGCCCTTTAATAACAACAGATTGGTAACGATTTGACAGGTAAGAAGAAAACCAGCTAAGGGCAGTCCCGGATATTCCAAAAGACACTTCTAATCGCTTCAATAAAATGTGATGGTCAATATGTATCAAAAGCTGCTGATAGATCTAAAAGGCTCAGCAAAACAACTTTTCCTGAATCACAATCAGTAAGCATGTCATTCGAGATCATGACTTTAAGAAGTGCTGTTTCTGTGCTGTGGTTAGCTCGATAGGCAGACTGGAATGGCTCTAACAGATTGTTTTCTTGTAAGTGATGACGAAGCTGCTCGGGGACAACCTTTTCAAGGATTTTAGACAAAAAAGGTAGATTTGAAACAGGTCTATAGTTCTTTAAGACATTCTGATCTAAGTTTTGCTTCTTTAGCAACGGTTTTACAAGAGCGATTTTAAACGAATCTGGTTCAAGTGAGTTTGTTGTGATATATGTGGGGAAGAGTAAAATGAAACATTCATGTACCTTTGTGTGAGGAAGATGTTCATATGAGTTTGTGATATGTGTGTAAGAGTAAAATGAAGCATTCAAGAGCTTGTGTGTGAGTAAAAGATGTTCAAGTGAGTTTGTTGTGATATGTGAGGAAGAGTAAAATGAAGCCTTCATGTACCTGTGTGTGAGGGAGATGTTCATATGAGTTTGTGATATGTCTGGAAGAGTAAAATGAAACATTCATGTCTAGATATCTAGATCTATGTGTGAGTAAGATGTATGTGTGTCTGTTTTGGTGGTTGTTCTTTTTAGTATGTCAATAAACATTAGTTCTGTCTTAGAACTCTTAGGCCCACTGTACAAAAGGAGTTCGTCTTTCCTTCTTTCCTTTTTTCAAACGCCTAGTTGTGCTTCAATTTGGGTGTGATGGTATGGGGTGTAGTGGGTGACGGTATGGGGTACATACCATGACAGAAAACCCGACACGTGACGATATGGGGTACATGTCAGGACATGTGTCAAGTCTCGGTTAGGGGTCTTCTTTATACACTATCTGACTAAAATCTTCACCTCACACCTACAGGAAAGGCTGGCCTCTCAACAAAACGAAATTTTGGGTCAATGTTTTTGAAAGAGCCGAAGTTATGGTAATACAAAAGTTCACTTCCGGAAATAGTCATCACAAAACACTAAGGTGACGGTATGCCGTACATAGGCTCTAGATCTAGATCTAGATTCTAGATCTATAGTCCAGACGAAGATTCAGATCTAAAAATACTAAATTAGATCAAGACTTGAATCAAGTCCCTAGATCTATATTTTAGATTTCTAGATCTAGATCTAGATCCAGATTTTAGATCTAAATCTAGATTCTAGATCTAATCTAATAAAGACTAATATAGTCTAATGCTGTGCCTAGTTCGTGATTCCATGTCGTTGGTGTGGCTGGGGGAAGTCTGGTGTCTAGCCCTAATAATCTATATTCTATGCCTAGATCTAGAATCTAGATCTAGATTAGATATATATCTATATCTAGATATAGATATAGATCTACTTTCGATTTAGATCTCTAGATTTTTTAAATCTAATTTTTAGACGTCCTACTGCTTGGGTGTTGTTGCGAGTCTGTCGGCTGTCATCACCAATCATCCTCCCATTTCAAAGTAGAAAACAATCACAAAAACTAAACTGAAACTTGGGACGCATGTCTGTATCGTGGCAAAAACATACAAACCTTCAATATTAAGCATACCTAGCCTACCTTCAAGTCAATGCCTTTCTTGTTCTTCAGAACCACATGCTTAAATACACATGGTGCAGATGTTTAGCACTTGGTGTTTACAGTTTACAGAAGCCCCGAATGTTGACTTCAGGGGCTGAAGAGTCGAGCAAGAAGAACTGAATATTTCCGTTTCCGGGCCAGCTGCTCTAGGCCTCTGCCCATTTTCAAAACAAGAAGGCCCAACCCCCAACATTCAACTGACTGTTTCTCTTTCCCGGGTAAGATCTGAATGTGTATGAGTCTATTGCTACTTAGATCTACTGCTATCAACTTACTTTCAGGGTAAGCGTGTTGGCCAAGCGGGCTTGATCTAATCTGGATTCTAGATCTAAAATTGATTTATTAGGATTTTTTTAGTTTTAAGTTTTAAGACTTTATTACTTTATTTTACGTTCAAACGTTGGGTTGGTTTTGTTTGTTCGTTGTTTTTTGGGGGGAGGGGGGGGCAGAGTCTAATCCGTAGCCGTAGCATGCAAAAGATAACGAAAACTAGATTCTAGATCTAGATCTACACTCTATATCTAAACTGCTTGATATAGAATCTAGATCTAGTGAAATACTAGATCTATATCTAGATTCTAGATCTAGACGACAGAAATGAAATGTGGTTTCATAGAACTGTTGACAAGTCTTAGTGTTGAAAATATCGTGGTAGGAAAAGAAATCCTATGAGGTAGCCTAGATTTAGTGCTGATTGGAACCAGCACGGGGTGCTGGCTAATAAAAACAATATGAAAAGGCAAGCAAATGCAGTTTCTGAGACACTTGAATTGACGTTCATTAAGGAACATCTTGCTCTCAGATGAAAAAATAGAAGGCCAAAGAGGCAGAGGTTGACCAACAAACAACAGCTAGCTAACTCAGGGAACTTGAACGGATGTGTGTCAGTGAAATACATGTAGGGCCTACCAGGATAATATTGGTAGGCCAAGATCTACCTTGAAAACATCAGAGCAGAGAAATGAGTGTTAAACCATGACTACCGATGTCTGAAGTCTGGCGGGATCAGATCTGACACTTGATGATGATGATGATGCATAGCTCGGGTTTCTTGATCAAAGTTTAGACGTTAGATAGAAGGTGCAACAACAGGTTCATCACAAGGGTAGTTATTATTTAACAAATAACGTGAGATAACGTGAAATATCATGAGATAAATTAAATGAAAATGGTATGAGTTTAACGCCCCTATCAACACTATTAGGTCGTTTAAGAGGCGGGACCTCCTAGTTGAACGTCTGTCTCTGATAGGACCGAGCCAAGTAGGAAGTTCGTGTAAAGTGTATTTCCCAAGGACATAACGTTGGACTGAGCTGAGGCTCGAACCCCCGAACCCGCAATCTCACGATTACAAGTCTGGTAGCCTAACCACTAGGCTACCGACGCCACCTTGAGATAAATGAGATAACATCTCTTATTTTAACAAATAACGTGAGATATCCTGCTTGCCACATGGGCTGTTTCAGCGAAACGGACGTCACTTTCAGGGCACTTTTTGGGGCTTATTTATTAGTACAGCATGGCTGATTTTGTTTTTTAATGTACTTAAATGTGTCATGCATAGCCAGACTAAAAGTCTATAAGATGGAAATATCAGTCTTTGTGTACCGGCCTCCATCTCTGAGAAGTACACTGCATAGGCCTACTGGACGTCACAAAAAAAAAATATGGACAAGACTTTTGGGGTCACCTTAGTCAGTGCAAAAACTGTGAAGTTTGATTGGTTGGTGTCAACGAGCAGTCAATCACTCGTTGGCATTTATAATTTGTATAGGACTGAGGCCTGATTGTCACGTCTAACCGACACTTAACACAACGAGATTGATTTAAGATTGTGTGGTATAGAAAAAAAATGCTGATACGTTTTATTAAAGGAAGGTACTACTGGTAAAAGAATGTTAATAAATAAGTCAATGGAATCAAATTGTTTGTACATACATAACATAATGTAACAATCAATGAATGGTGTAACATAGATTGTATGTACATAATTGTATGTGCATTGTAGAACGTCTCAATGATTACATGATAAAAACCAAGGTCAAAATAAACAATGACATTCCAATCAACTACACGACATAACATTCTAGTGTAAAGTTATCTTTTACCATACCTAGATGTGTGAGTGGTCAAATTACTGTAACTAGATATGCAGAGTCGTTCCGCTCTGGATATGCAAGTGAAATGATACTAACTAACGTGCCTAAATAAATTAAATAATATAATTAATAGCTATCGGGTTTCCAAGAAAACGCTACGTTTTGCATTTACAAGAAAACAAAGATTTTCGCCATCGTTTCGGATTTCCAAGAAAACGCAACTTTCGGTTTCAAGTTCAATTCGGTGTTATCTCAGGATATATCTCACGATATCTCACTCTATCTCAGGATACCTCACGGTATCTCACGTTATCTCACGTTATTTGTGATTTAATGATAACTACACCCGGTGTTATCTCAGGATTTTTCACGGCATCTCACGTTATTTGTTAAATGATAACTACCGCATCATAAGGTACAAGAGTTTCCTGTTTTTAACGGGATGTTGGGGGGGGTTACAGAGGTTTGTAAGTATACAATCAAGTTTGGTTGCAGTGTTCGCAAATGCTTCAGACTACTGAGCTTCAGGTTTTTCAAATGCGACTTTTTATCTTTCGTGAGAAACCTAGGTCCTACCCAGACCTAGGGGCCTACTCAGACACTCAGTACCCAGTGAATCCTACGACAATAGAACCGAACACTTTATTTTAAAATCGGCATTACTTTTTTTTTCAGAACTATAATGTACACTGATGTGTGCGTTCTTGGTGCAGGCATAACTGGTTTGTCAGCAGCTATCAATGTTCAGAAGCTCATCCGATGCGTCAACGTCACCATAATCGCAGACAGTTTTGGCCAGGACACCACTACCCCAGTTACCAGAAACCTTTTTCTTCCCATTCCATCAAGCGTCAAAGGAACTGACCCTGATGCTTTACGGTGTGTGCATGCGTTGTTACTTTCTTGATTTTCAGTTATTAGAAAGATTTTAGTTTTTTCCTCAGCTATATGTATCATAAAGTGCTTGTTCTTCCCTAGTCACTCATCATCATTTTGCTTACTTATTTACTTACTTACTGTTCTCTTTTGGCCAGTCTTTTTGAGTGTTCTCCCTTTGACTGGAAACAACAGAATAAGGGCGAAAAAATCTTGGAGGTCCCATGTGTTCAGGTTGCACATGTTAAAAATCCCTTGGTGGTCTTAAAAGCGATAAGAGTAGGCTTCGGCTGCCACACGAGCAAATTCAAATTTAACGATATTATAACTTTTCTAAAGAGAAGGCGATAAGACTGGTGCCTGTGGTGCAGCAGTTAGGCACTTCACTGTCTCACACAGGAGACCTGATTGGGGAGAAATTTCTATAGAGTATTTCAGTATGTCTGTTTGGGTGTGTTATCCTTGTCAACGGGTTGGTCCTGACAGGCAAGATCGAAAGCCCGCCTCCTAAATGATCGAAACTGTGTCATGGTGGCGTCAAAATTCCACTCAAAGGCAGTTAAACACGATTGATAGCTGTGAATTTGAAGAGCCAAACTTGTTTTCCTAAGTTTTTATAAAGAGGGGGTGACTGGTAGCAGAATAAAGGTGCTGCATCGAACCCTACTTGTCAAAACTTTACTACAACAATTTGCCGCAGACTCTTACCTTCTTGTACTTCCTTTCTCCTCACTTTTTAAAACCTGAGATCATAGATTTAGAAATGTGCTCTCCAGTTGTGCATGTCCTTAATAGTTGTTATCTGTAAGTTTGTGGGGAGGGGGGGGGGAGGGTTGTGTTGTTTTTGTTGTAGTTTTTTGGGGAGGAAGAGGGGTTTAGGGGTATTATATAACAAGATGCTTGTGAGATTTATTTTGCAACACCCCTCTTCCATGGTGTAGCCCTAGGTTTAAATTTCCATTTTTTCCAGGATTTTTAAGTACTTGTTTTTGTTTTTTGTTTTTTGCGAGTAGATATTTGTTATATTTACATTAGTAATATACAGTATCAGTTACATGAATTATTTTATGAAAAGCGCAAATAACGTTACTCTGATATAACATAGAATTGGTTGAAAACCTCTTCAGGAATGCTTTGTTGTATTAAGATTATAAATGCCTGTCTTTTAGTAAGTGGTTTCTGGATGGCTGGACTCATCACTTCACACGAGCGAAGACACCAGAGGGAGAGGAATCTGGCCATTCCTTAATCACAGGCTACTACTTGTGGTCAGAGGGGGAGGCCCCCATCCTCTCAGACGCTGTCTTCAACTTCCACCAGCTCTCAGAGTCTGAGCTTGCTGAAGAAGATTTCCCTTACGAGTAGGTTCAGACAAATGAAATAATGCACCTGTGGTCAATTTATTTATCATCTTTCTATGAAAAAAGCCTCCATTAGTGTTTTTAATTTGTGTCTTTTTTTGTAATGAAACATGTCAAGCTCATGTTTACGCGTGAAGATTGTCAAAGTCGAAGGAAAATTATAATTGTGAAGAATTCCCCCCCCCCCCCCCAAACCAGGGCTGTGCTACTGACTGAAGTTGTCTTTAGGCCATTCTCAATTTGGGGGGGGGGGGGTATTAACATGTTCTTATGCACAGTAGAATTGTAAATGGGCGGATTTATCCAGTCATATTCATACTGCACCGGAACAACATAGTGGGAACTGCTGCTTTTTCTTCCCTCATCCTTACTGTTACTATCATATCATCATTTTTCCTCTGTATGTTTGTCTCTCTTTTGTGAACTGCTATTTCCGGGGTGCCTTGATAGTCGAAGCAGACTTTGTGCTGTTGAGGCCAGAGAGGTGAGCAAAGTAAACCTGATTCCCCGTTTGGATTTCTCTGTTGACATCCAACCTTGGTGCTCATATGACCGTGTGCATTTCCGAGCGCCGTAAAACATAACCAAAAAAAAAAAAGAAGAAGAAGAAGAAATTGCTTCTCAAAGTCAAATAGGAAAACGTGTAACGTTTAATAAAGTCTTCGTTTGTTGGCATCTTTGTCCTGAACACTTAAATGACTTCTCCAGAACTATTTTTGTCACCCTGCTCATTCTTTCTGTTCATTCAGTTTACCGTTTCTGCTGCCCCCAACCCCCCACCCCACCCCTACCCTTTTCCCCAGTTCAGCTTTAATAATTATTTGCTTTATATCAAGATCCAAAACAAGATTATTATTTTTCCTTTCGGTCTGTGCCTTCCATCATTTCATCTGTCCGGTAATATATTTTCTTTGAAATATTTGTGCTACATATTTTACAGCAAAGGATGTCGATTTACTACAGTTGCAGTGGACTTCAAAAAGTACTTTCGGTGGCTTATGAAAGAGTGAGTATCTTTATTTTAATAATTTCCAGGCTTTCTTTCTTCCCATTTGGGTGCTTTTTTAATGTGAATGGTTATATAGTTGCCCTTTTTTTTATAGATACCACCCAACAATACATTCCAGCCTTCAACCTCCTACTAGTTGTCATGTTTTTGTTCTGATTGTAGCTGAGAGTATAGTGATTCAGTACGCTACTTTCATGAATCTGTCTAAAGATAACCCCCCCCCCTCCCCGGGGCGGTGCTAATGGATGAAGTGTCTTTAGGCCATTCCCAAAGTTGGCATGTTCTTATGCACAGTAGAATTGTAAATGGGCTTATTCATCAATGTCATGCTCATAACTGTCTTAACTGCAACGGGGAAGTGCTGCTTTTTCTTTCCTAATCCTTACTATCGTCATTATTCCTCTACTTCTTTTGTATGTTTGTCACACTCTTGTGACCCGTTTTTGGGGGGTGCCTTGATAGTCGAAGCAGACTTTGTGCTGTTGAAGCTGGAGAGGTGAGCAGGGTTCCTGATTCAACGTTTGGACTTCTCTGTTGACATCCACCCCTTGGCGCTCATTTTTTATATGCCCTTATGCAGTTGCGAGGGCCGTTAAAAACTCTACTAAAACTGTCTAAAAATATACTAATAGTTGTTATGTAATAATTTGGCAACGAACATCTAATGGGACTGCAGGTGCTTAATGCTGTTCACAACTACAGTTCATTAAAATCTTGTCATATCATAAACTATCTTTCTGTTTAATAATATTAAGAACATATCCATATTAATATTATTAAGCACCCCCATCCCCCTCCTTTCATTCTCCTTTTTACTTTTTAAGACTGTCCCTTTTTCTCCCCGTCCCCACTTCTGTCTCTGTTTCTTTTTCTTTGTTTACTCTCTCTCTCTCTCTCTCTCTCTCTCTCTCTCCC